CGTTAAGGCCTTGAAGGGGTTGTTGAGTAGACTATGAGAACAAGTAGGCACACTGGAAACTATAGCAACTCTATATAAAACCGATAGGACCAAAAAATCACAGCACAAAAGCTCGTAAGAACCACCTACAGTTTCTTTGAAAATTTCACGATACGAATATTTGTTTCTAATTCATAATGCCACACTTCCACCAGACCTGCGGGACGGATCATATCGTAAAAGATTGTACCCATGACATACAATCAGTATACCGAGAAATGTGGAATTTTCCAACGACGTCCTGAGCCAGGTTTCAGTAAGGGCAATAAAATCGAAGTCGTACCGACTCCCAGTTAAAAGAAATACCAGTGAATCGCGGTTCTTATTGAGTAACCAAATATTGCTCACCAGACACATTTTGGATTTATTGTTTTGTAATAAGGAAGACCTGATCGAAAAGGTGTCAATAGTCACCAATTTGATCCAAATCACTCTGTTGTTAGTTTGCGCCTCAGAATCAGAGCTGTTGATGACCATGTAATCAAGATTGTCAGCAAGGCTACCACTAAGATCATCAGTTTTTATAATGCCAATTTTTTATAAAGCGTTCATGACAAGGATATCCAAGTAATTTTCGTGCATTTAAAACTTATATCCCCCCTATCCTTGAATACGAACTGTTATTTGCTGTCCACATAAGAAACCCTCATTAACACTATTGAGAAAGTACAAAATGATTCCACTAGGAAACTATTGACTAGAGCTATGGGTACAACTGTATGAATATACCTTACAGTGCTATTAGAAATAAAATGCTGGGCTCACAGTCACTTGAGCAGAGAAGAAAGCTGAACGATATACTTATGCCCTACAAAACTCTTAACGGAAAAGTTTCTATTGATAAGTCAAAGCTATTCTCTGCAGGAGACTCTCGCACTCGGTGAGGCGACCTCAAGGCCCTCTGTCGAAACGTTGGCCAGAATAAAGATTTCCAACCAACACCTCGAGGCCGAAGCAAAATTAGCAATCTCAAGAGCAACCTAAGGTATATATTCCCAGACCAAAGACTCTACATCGATCTCACTTTTTTTGTCACTTTCAGGCTTAGATTTCAATAGAATCGTGAAACAGAGTGATGTGCCTAAAACCATTGCTCAGTTCAAAAGACTTGCAACTCAGCACCTCGAATGAAATTATGGTTCACAATTTATGCAACTTTGCACTCTATTTTCACAATGTGACCAACTCATTGTTCAGTTTGCCAGTAGTTTTCTCGCAGCCCTTTCAGTGTGTCGTTGCATT